ACAGAACTGTATAACATCTCCTGATGTCAAAATATAAAATAAATACAATAATATAAAACAAAATAAAATCTGTTCCTTTAGGAGCAATGTCTAACATGTGTAATTAACTTGTGAGTGTGTGAGGCCATTATGCCTAAATAAAGGTGCTCAAGTTTTACTCTATTTTCAAGTTGTTCTTCAAAAAGATGAGTTTGTCTACGTTGTCAGTAGGGAGGGCAGATCTGTTGGCGGTAACTATGTCACCTGCCGTCGAGAAAACCCTCTCGCTGGGGACTGAGACTGACTCGGATGTGATTGAGCATGTTTGACGTGTTACCACTAGCATACCGCACCGCTGTCGAACAACGCCGACACACTGTCCTAGTCCGATCCACAACTCACACCCCATCATTGTTGTAGTCCACAGGGAACCCGAAATGTTCCCACACACCTGATTTAAAAGAAGCAGGTGGGTCTTCTAGCTCCTGTGTGTTGTGTGAACTCGCCATATTAGCTACTAACTTTTCTTCTTCATGTATTGTGTTCGTTTTGTTTTGTTCTTGTTCTTCATTTGTTATTTATGGGCGGCTGGCTTTTAGGCGCAATACCGCCCCCTGGATTATATATAGTGTAATGCTGCCCTGAGTGACAGACTTTTTTCCCACTCGTAAAAAAAGGCTTATTCGCCGTGTGACTGCATGTGCCGAACCGTGACGTCCGAACCGCGACGGTACGGGACGAATACGGATACCGTTACACCCCTACATGTTGCTGTTCCTAACTTGCGTGACATTGCACTTCCTGTGTTGTGACTGTTGTCTCAATGTTCATATTGTGCAGCTTTCTGTCAACAAAACATAGAGAAATAGGCACCTCTAGGTTCATGATTAGGTTTCTACGTTAGTCCTTACTGCTTCATGGTTTATTAAACCTGCCTGAATTGAATTAGCTGCTGTCTACGATAGAACACTCATGTAAGTATGTTTTTGAACATGTCATATCTGCTTTTCCTCAGCTGTTAAATGCAGTGGGGTGAAGACCCAGCCAGACTCCATGTCCCAGAATGCACGGAAGGCTCTCCCCCGTAACCTGGGAACCCCCACTGACACCCCCCCCAGCACTCTGCTGGTGAACAGCAAAGGCCTCAACCCCAGCCCCAAGAGGGCGGTACGGGACCCCAAAACAGGACGAGGTACTTCTTCACTGACTGACTGCTCATATGTGACCCGCTCTATCGAAATCAGTCGGAAGTCGCAACGGCTCATTTTAAAATAAACGTGGATTTACGTAAAAAACTATTTTTTCGGGGTTCGGCTGTTTTGTTTGATTTTAAACAAACAAAGTCTTGGCTTTCAGAATATTCAACTTTTATTTCCAAAATCACACGATAAATACATGTTTGAAGCTTGTAAAGGGACGAAGACAGGCACCTCTCATTCGCAATCTGCTGTTCCACAGCGCAGCCCCCCCCCCCTCCCTCCGGCTGACATTATGAATGTAAGAGTGTAGTAATCATAGACAACACGGCAGGGTCCGTTACAGTTTGTTTTCATCTATAATTTCAATTAAACAAAGTCTTGGCTTTCAGAATATTAAACTTGTTTCGGCAAATTCAGATGATAAATACAACTTTGAAGCTTCGGCATAATTACAAGCGGAGAACGGAGTAACTTAACGTCACAGCAGGCATAACAACAGCCGGTGTTTCTCGTGAGGGTTTTCCCCGGGAAACAAACACAATACACACAAACGCAAAAATACACACACACGTATACACACACACGTATACACACACACACACACGTATACACACACACACACTCGCGAGCTTCCCCCAGACCAGTAATCCAAACGAAAATATCTTCCCTCCGTAGTATTTTGATCATTTGCTAATAACCAATCAGATCGATGGATTCCAGAGAAGAGAAAACTTTGAAGGCCTTTTTCTCAAAATGATGTCTCGGTGACAGTCATTATATAATGTGACATATTTCGCTTAATATTTGGAGTACAACAACAATCCTGATATCATTAGAAAGCTATGAATCTCCTCTTTCCAGCAGTGTATACAACTCAAAATGTGTCTTCGGGTCAATGCGACTGATTTCGATAGAGCAGGTCACATATTACCCCCCCCCAGGAGCAACACAATGACGCTGCTCAACCTTTATCTACCTGTTACATGTCTGTCACCCTCACAGCGTGACTAAACAGACATTTTAATAGAGATGTGGCTTTCAGACTTTTAATAGACATGCTAACACATGTTGTCAGTTATATAGAGAAGGTTGCGGTAGACTTTGAATAAAAAAAAATGAAAGGAGCATGAATGAACGCTCGATATTGATTGTGTTGCAGCGGTCCAGGAGAGGAACTCGTACGCAGTCAGTGTGTGGAAGAGGGTGAAGGCCAAGCTGGAGGGCAGAGACATCGACCCCAACAGGAGGATGAGCGTCACAGAGCAGGTAATTTAATCATCATTTCACTAGCAGGTAACGCGCCACAACAATGTCATTTTAAAGATTCAATGAAGGAGGCACAATGAATGGGACATAGAGGGGGGGTGAAGGTGGATGCTGTCTGTCAGGCTGGTCTGAAGTCCAGGCACTGAGAGCCTCAGGGTGGGGGTTCTGTCTCAGGCACTCTTCTATGGCATCCGTTTGTGTATTCATTCCATGCCCTTGATATCAGACGGCAGTTGCTTACACGGGTTTGCTCTTTGTTAGCACTTAGTCATAGCATATTGTAGTATCGTCACAATAGCTTGGCACTCTACTATTACTATTTGAATAAATACTACCACTAGTCACTCTTTTTCAGCGACTAGTGGCACTTTTGTCTGACTTGTTGTTTAATGAACTAGCTAACAGGCACCTTAGACCAGTGATTCTCAAATGGGGGTACGCGGACCCCTGGGGGTACGTTGGGGTACTGCAGGGGGTACGTGAGATTAAAAAAAAAGAATAAAAAAAAGAATCTTAGTAAAATAAGTTAAATAGAAAACACAATTGTATATAACACATTCCTAAAACCACCAAGGGGGTCCTCATATAAACATGTCAAATGTGTGTATTGTATTTTATAGTTTTTCACAATAACATATTACTTAAATTGAAAAACTCCTTGGAAAAATCTGTTTTATAAAAGTGTTATGTTATTGTTTTTCATGCATAAAATGAAAATATCCTTAGTTTGTTGTAATGCATACCACGAAGGAGTTAATACATCACACACTGAGGGAACATCACTATATTGTAATTATTTATATAGGCTTTTTCGATCAAAAATGTTCGGGATCGGTCAGGGGGTACTTGGCTGAGAAAATGTTTCAAAGGGGGTACATTACTGAAAAAAGTTTGAGAAGCACTGCCTTAGACGGTACCTAGAATGAGACATCTAGGAATGTGTTGAGAAAAGCAACTCATTTCAAAGTGTGTTTGTGGCTGATCAGCTGGAAGTCTCTCAGAGTCTGGCATATTGTCAGTACTAATATTGAATGATCTGAGCAGTGTCTGATGGTTAAACGTGGTCTGAATATTAATGCTGAGTCGCTGTGTTTCAGGTGGACGTGGTGATCAAAGAGGCCACCAGCATGGAGAACCTGGCTCAGCTGTATGAGGGCTGGACGGCCTGGGTGTGAGCGCCTGCTCCTTCATGTCTTTGTTCCAGCGAAGGCTTGGAGATCCACCAGAGTCCAGCGGGTCTGGGGTGTCGGAACAGCAGCACCGGGCCACACTGGGGGGAGCGAACGGGAGGCGGATGCTCAATCCGCCTCCCAAACTCCTGGGCACCCAAACCGGTGCAGCGACCTCGTAGCACCGCTGCAACCACACCCCCCCAACCTCCGGCGAGCGGGCTAACACACGCTTTGTGGGCCTGCCGCCCCGCCCTCCTTTCTGGGGTTTGACCAGGCAACGCAGTGCCGGATGGGGGGAGGGGGAAGGAAGGCAAACGCCTCCTCACCCTCGACTTAGAAACACCTTCCCCCCTCACCTGCATAGCTCACCGTCAAGTTGTACCCATAAATCACTGCATCCTGTTGAGCCAATCAGAGTCCACCTGAGGGCAGGGTGAAGCAGGAAGTGAGCCGCCTCCCTCTGAAGCACACAGCCGCCGCGCTGTGGGTGGGACTTCACCGGGGGGGCTCAGATGGGCCACTCACATGGTCACACTTGTTTTTCTCTAATCTTTTCCGTTGTGATTGGCAGCGGGTTGGCAGGCGCTGAGAGCCAAGGTCCTTCAGGATCCTGAATCCACACCACCCAGCAGCTGCAGTGAAGGAAATGAAGGGGAACAGTCAACGTGGTGTATTTTGGTTGATAAACAGTCAAAACTTTTACAGAATTGTTGATTGGAGTTGTTTTCTAAGGGAGGTTCTTTGTGGTTAAGTGAACGGCCTGTCATGTGACTAGTTTCTGATGTCTCATCTCGTAGAGCATGAGGTCACTCCACGAGGGCGGCCTCACTCTTTTTCTTGGTGTGTTTCTTCAGTCTGTGTGAGCTCTGTAACTCTTCTGTCCTTCTTTAGATCTGTAGATGTTTTCTGCCTTTTTTGAAATGCCTGTCACAAGCTGTTGCTTGCCTCATACACCATCCCCCCCCCCCCATGCTTGCATTTTATTAATATTGACTTTCTAGTTTTACATTTTTAGTGGGAGAATTTATCTTTTTGGTGATGGTGCAAAATGTTAATTCTTAAAGCTTTTATTGGATTTTGTTGGATGCCAAATAAACATTGAACTATGAAGTGTGGAGTGTTTTTAATGAACAATGAGAATCCATAGACACAAGAAACCTCATTTGTTTGTATAACTCCAGCTGTTTATACAGCTTCTAGATATTACTTGGGTCTGACTCATGCCTGCAAAATGATTAGGCAATGTCCCCCCCCCTTCAACACTGCATCTTTCGTCCCCAAACATAGCCATGTCTTTTCCTGATAGTATGTCAATTAATTCAAGGGATTTTGACCAGGACAATTCATAAGTAAAAGAAGGACGGACTGCTCATGTAAAGGACCCCGAATTGTGTGGGAGTTCCCTGGTCCCCCTGAGGCTCATGTTCTAGTCACTGGTCACAGGTTGCTCTTTACCTCGCTGAGGACACTTGGCTTTCCTCGCACATTGTTTCATCTGGAGGATTGTCAGATTGTATCAGGAGCACTTCTTTCTTTTTCTATCTTTACTCATATCATGAAATGAAATAGTTTAGCATTTTGCAGCCATGGTTACTACAGGGGGAAGACTTTCAACACAAGGCAATCAAAGTGCTTTTCAAAAAGGAAAGACAATAAGAGCATTAAGAAATAGTGCAGTGGAAACGCAAACATTAAAAAGCAAAGATAATAAAACATGAATACAAGTTACAGTGCAAGATGTGAATAGTTCCATTAAAAGCAGAGGCAAAAAGGAAAGCCTTCAGCCTGGATTTGAAAGGAGTCGGAGTCGCAGCGGAGCGGCAGGTTTCTGGACTTTGTTCCAGATATTGGGCAATATCCCTAAAAGCAGTAAACATACCGTTTCTTTTGGACAGTATTACCTTGAACGAAAAGGGAATGTTTGGAACCAAAGTGAGGATTCCATTTTAGCATTATAGATTTAAAATAATTATATATAACTTCCAATAATATCAGTCAATTTTATTTCATAATCCTCACAGTAGACTTCAAAATTGTGAAAAAAGTGTTACAATGTCTTTGTAAACATTCAGCTTAAACACACTGTATAAAGGGCAGCAGCCAATCGGAGGACAGAGGGTCTAGTGAGTGGTTTGGATCAAAGCTAAATAACATGTAGTGTTTGTTCTGTTATCTTGTGTAAACTGCCCCCCTCAGAAGTGATGGTTCGGAAGAGGCCGGCTGCAGCAGGTTAATGATTACAGCGGCTCTGTTTATCTGTGTGTGTGTCCTGTGTGTGAGGGGCAGACACTCAGGGGACAGCCATGGCAGGACAGCGTGTGTGTGTGTCCGACTTCGAGAAAGAAGCTGAGAAAGTTCTTCCTAAAGCCGTTTACGATTACTACCGCTCAGGAGCTGATGAGCAGAGCACACTGGCTGACAATGTGGCTGCCTTTAACAGGTACACACACACACACACACACACACACACACACACACACACACTGAGCAGCTCTGTTGGACAGAGTCTTAGCATGATGTTCCAACACATCTACTTTGTGCCTCAGCCTTTAAAGCACAGCAAGAGTCGGATACAAAGAATACAGAGTGGTTCAATCCATTCTAATATCATATCATTATTCCACCTCAGTGTCTCTGGTGCAACACCTGACTGCAGGTCTTCTGTTGTCCTTCATTCAGCTCGTGAACATGTTCCTCTGGTTCTGTTGTCATTTCTTGTTTTCTGATTTATTTCATAATATTATTGTGTTTTGTATTGTCTCAAGCAGCTCTTTTTATTATCCTTGTGACAACATGTGCATCACTTGTGTGCACCTACATGTTAATAAAATGTGTGCATGTGAAGGTTATGTTTTGAATAATGTCCCTTCAGGGGCCCCTCTTACGTAGAAACTGAAACATATAATGCTTGAGGCTTCCTTCCTTTGGCAGGAGTATAGTCCCTTGTGCCATAGCACGCCCATGTAACGTTCCTCAATAGACACTATGTATACTTGTGTATAAGTGTGTTTACTAAGATATGTTCGGAGATGTTAGGTATAAAGTACATGATGACCACAATGTCCATAATCCTCTGGGTTTGTTCTGGACTTCATATTTTGTGTATAGGCATACTGAGTGTGAGATGTACGGTGGCTGACAGGTGCAAACGTGTAACAACGGCCCAAAACACTTCCATTAGGGCAGTGGTTCCCAAACTTTTTCAGTCGGGACCCCCTTGGGTATTGGAAATATTTTCGGGACCCCCCCAACCCGGTTCCCATCTATATTGGTAGGATTAATTGTATATTGTTGTAAAAACATTACATTTTCTCTGCTAATAATAAGAAGATACAAAGATCCAACTATCATTTTATATTTTATTATGGATTACACATGAACTAAAGTGCTTGTAATAGATACTGTGAATTACTTTGGCCTAATTAAAACTGGTTGGCCTTCTTCCCTGAGTAGTACATTTTTAAATTCAAATTTCTTTAAGGAAAATATATGAATGAACTACTATTTCTACTGCAGGTTGCAAACGATCACATCACTTTACCATTCCTATTCCACACATAGCCTATCAATGACTTGTGTGTGCTTGCTTTCCCTCGCAGATCTTCTCAAAGCGGGGCTGTTGTTTTGAGACTCTCTCAGTTCATTCTCAATGTTCAGCTTTGATCTGTATTTGGTTTTGATGGCAGCAACAGCAGAAAAGCCGATCTCACACAAGTAGGATGTTGCAAAAGGCAGCATTAGCCCACAGCTCTCTGACCAATGAGATATTTTCGAGCAGTGTTTGTTTACAATTGAATAATAATAATAATAACAATACATTTAATTTATATAGGTGCACTTTAAAAACAACGTCATCTCGAGGTGCTTCACAAAGCTAAAACGAGAAAATAATAAAATAAAAAAATCTTCCCGCGACCCCCCCTGCAGTACCTCCGCGACCCACTAGGGGTCGCGCCCCACAACGGAGACCAGGGGACACTAAAAAGTGACGCACACAGCTGGGACCGGAGCGCTTGGTTATAAAGCTGGACAACTGTCTCTGTTGTTGGAAATGTAACTAAAATGTTTTTTCAGCTTATTTAAAAAATGTGATCACATGACTCCTGATATTACTGTAGATCTGCTGTTAGCAAGTTAGCTAACCTAGTCATTTCAAATATACTGGGTATTGTAGTGCCGAGAGATATGGAGTCAGAGGCGGTGCAAGGAAGGTGCAAGAATAGTAATTTATTCACAAGCTGTACAGGACATGTTGTCGGGTCGCATCCCGGGTCGACAAGAGAGAGCCAAGAGGGTACACACTATTTATAGGTAACCCATAACATGTCCGTGTGGGAACAATAACCGCAACTGTAGTTCCAAGTTTGAATTATGTCCCAGTGGTTAAATAGGTGGTCACCACACAAGCCCCCCCAGAATTCAAACATGGCAAAAAAATATATATCCCCACGTCCGTGGAGGAAGCACCACAAGGGCCGAGGAGGGTGGGGCCGCAGGTGAGGACCGGGCCATGGAACGGGCCACGAAAGGGGGCCGCAGGAGAGGGCAGGGGCCCTAACGAGGGCGAGGGCACCCACACCGGGGGCGGGCCGTTGTAAGGGGGCCGTAGTAGGTGTCGCGGAGAACCCAGCAGGAAAGAGCGCAACCCGGCCGCAGGCAGACGCACAACGGCAGCGGGCACGAAGTCCTCGGCAGGCGTCGAGGTAGCCCCGGAAGAGAGGAGCAGTCCCCCCGGGAGGAAGGAGCGCAACCCGGCCGCAGGCAGACGTGCAACGGCGGCGGGCACGAAGTCCTCGGCAGGCGTCGAGGTATCCCCGGAAGAGAGGAGCAGTCCCCCCGGGAAGCAGGAGAGCAACCCGGCCGCAGGCAGACGTGCCGCGGTGGCGGGCATGAAGTCCTCAGCAGATGTCGAGGTATCCCCGGGAAGCAGGAGAGCAACCCGGCCGCAGGCAGACGTGCCGTGGCGGCGGGCATGAAGTCCTCAGAAGGGGCTGAGGCATCCCCGGGAAGCAGGAGAGGCCAGACAGGGTCCCGGAGCGCGCCACCCATGGGCTGATGGAGCATGGGCGACGTCCGGAACTGTCGAGGCGAGAGGGGGTCCAGGAGTGCGCCACCCAGGCGCCGATGAACGTGAGTGGCGTCTGGATATCCCCGGAAGGCAGGAGAGGCCAGACAGGCTCCGGAGCGCGCCACCCACGTGCCGATGGCAGCATGGGCGATGTCCAAAACCGTCGAGGCGAGACGGGGTCCAGGAGTGCACCACCCAGGCGTCGATGGAAACGTGAGTGGCGTCTGGAACCGCCGTGGAGGTGGTGAAAAAGGTGAGAGTGTCCACATGAGGTCAACCGGCTGGTCGAACCTCCTCTCCGGCACCAGAAGAAAAAAAAAACTCAAAAGGGCTGATAGCCGTTGGCACTAGCCGTCGTTAGCCCCACGTGGTTAGCCGCCAGCTGCCAGCCATGGGTAGTTGCCAGCCATAGGTAGCTGCCAGCCGTCGTTAGCCCCACGTGGTTAGCAGCCGGGACGTGCAGCCGCATGCCCCGAAGAACAAACCCATGAGGTAGCAATGGGGTTGCTGGTCGACCCAGCAGGTCGTGCATCGTCCCCCCGTTGGATAGAAAGCCGATGCGGGAACGGCGAGCAACGTCTCCAGCCTTCTGCGGAGCGCGCACCGAGCCTCAGTCCGCGTGCCGGTGGCAGCCACGGACGTCTCCAATCAAACCCCGGCATTTCGAGAAAGGAACTCGAGTTCCTTTTGCTGTGTTCGTCTCCGTCCCGGAAACTTCTCAAGACGTATCAGGGTCACCAGTGTAGTGCCGAGAGATATGGAGTCAGAGGCGATGCAAGGAAGGGGCAAGAATAGTAATTTATTCACAAGCTGTAAAGGACATGTTGTCGGGTCGCAGCCCGGGTCGACAAGAGAGAGCCAAGAGGGTACACACTATTTATAGGTAACCCATAACATGTCCGTGTGGGAACAATAACCGCAACTGTAGTTCCAAGTTTGAATTATGTCCCAGTGGTTAAATAGGTGGTCACCACAGTATACAGTTATAACAGATAACAACAGAGACAGTTGTCCAACTTTATAATCCTGAACGTCACCAAGTGCCCCGTCCCAGCTGTGAGCCTCACTTTTTTGTGTGCCCTAGTTTCAGTTAAAGTGTTTTTGTTTTTTTGCTGTATTTCGTTTATGCAACGCTTTTAGTAAATGTTTGTGTATCTTTCCTAAATGCTGTGCATATGTTGTCAGGTTTTTGTAGATATCCTCATTTGACTTATTTTTGTTTTCTTTACCAACTTATAACTGTGCTCCTCATCCCTTTAAAAACACGCTGGTAATGATTAGAGCAGCTCAGTGTTTGTCACTCATCAACTGTGCTTCAAGTCCACAGTCCCTCTGTATCGGAGCCATGTGTACAGTTTACACAAAACAAACTGTATTCAAATCCAAACTGTCAGTAAGGACAGTGAGATGATGTTTGCCTAAACCTTTAATAACGGTAATCTTATCTCAATGGCATATATCAATCTGTCAAACCTCACTCAACACTGTTTGAAGGCTCCACGCCAAGAGATTTAATTTAATTTCCCTTTGTCTATAAAGTCAACTCGTCTATATCACCTTAAGCATCAGTCTGACTGTTTCATCATCTCTGGTTCAGCAAACATCAGTGTTGGTACACTGATCCCAATGATAAAGTCCCTTGTGACTGGTTAAAGCCCAACTAACCCAGCAGACTGTCACGATCTGGCTCACTAAGTTTATCCAATGCCGGGTGGATTTAATTCAAATCAATGTATTTTTTTTAATTGGGCTACCAGTGTCTTTATTGTAAGAGTTGACACATGCAGACAGAGGGGATGACATGTGGCAAATGGCCCAGGGCCCCAGCCGCCATCTCTAGCTATTGAGCTATATGGCGGCCCAACATTCTATTTATTTATTTACAAAAAGTTAGAAAATATATATGAAATCATAAGACAGAGTGGAGATACAGTATGTGAAACGGCACACCCTGATGAGCACTTAGAATATGAGCCCAGACACTAAACAGATTCACATTTTGACATTTAACTGAGTTTATTATATAAGTTTTGTTTTTATTTTAATTGTTAAATACTTACCTACTCACCTTAGTTGTTTACGCCCCAAATATATTTGTTGACACCTCTTGGTCTTTTATTTGCTATATTATGTCTGTTTATGGGGAAGGGGTTGGTGTTAGACGGGGGAAGCTAAACCAGTTCAACCACACACAGCAGACACACAGAGAAGGAAAGATGTATGCGGCGGCAATGGAAAATAAATGGATTAATCTTGACAAAATGGATTATCGTTTTGAATTATTTGTGCGTTGAAATCCCACCCCCGTATGTTGGAAGTGGCTGCTCTAGAAACTTTTAAGCCACTACAACAATATTATGAAGTTTTCTAAAATTGGAGATAGTTCACAGAGAAAGATTAGAAAATAAAAAACACTTAACAAATACCCTAAAACTAACCCTCATTACTAAATGGTCCTAAATCATGAATTGAATCAGTCTGAACATGTGTTTAAAGTAGGTAAGATGTCATAAACATTGGAGGGAATACTGAGTGAATATCATTTTCATTTGGACAGTTAGTCATTAACACACTGAGCTCCCTCACTGACCAGCTGTTAGTCTGAGGCGGATTTAGTTCCAGATGTTAGACTGACCCAGTGTTCCCATAATATCACTACTAATATAAAACACTCAACCAATACACACACCAAACACACAGAATAGAGTTATTGCAAAAGGAATGGGTACATGATGATGACGTACATTTGTAGGCTGACCCATTGATTTTTGGGATGTAACAGTAAATAATCTCTGTCATCACACATTTATGATACTTAAACGTTTTTTTCAGCAGGATAATCTCCACATATAAACTCCAACTACAGTGCAGTCACATGACTTCATGTCACCACCGCTAAGCTATAAAGGTGGCTAATGTTGGGCTATAAAGGAACTACAGCACGGTCACATGACTTCACGTCACCACCGCTAAGCTATAAAGGTGGCTAATGTTGGGCTATAAAGGAACTACAGCACGGTCACATGACTTCACGTCACCACCGCTAAGCTATAAAGGTGGCTAATGTTGGGCTATAAAGGAACTACAGCACGGTCACATGACTTCACGTCACCACCGCTAAGCTAAAGGAGGCTAATGTTGGGCTATAAAGGAACTACAGCACGGTCACATGACTTCACGTCACCACCGCTAAGCTAAAGGAGGCTAATGTTGGGCTATAAAGGAACTACAGCACGGTCACATGACTTCACGTCACCACCGCTAAGCTAAAGGAGGCTAATGTTGGGCTATAAAGGAACTACAGCACGGTCACATGACTTCACGTCACCACCGCTAAGCTAAAGGAGGCTAATGTTGGGCTATAAAGGAACTACAGCACGGTCACATGACTTCACGTACTATGCTTGCACATCATGGTACCATAGCACCTCCAAGGCGCTAAAAATAAAACTTCAAACATCGCAAAATAAACTGGTCAGACTACTGCTTGACCTTTCATCTAGAACCCACCTCACCTCTGCCCACTTTGACAACCTAGGATGGCTTAGAGTAGACGACAGAGTACAGCTACTTGCAATGGGCCTGGTCTACAAGATCCACTACACCTCTATGGTACCCATGTACATGTCAAAATTATTCCCAAAGGTCAAGGAATACCATGATCATAACACCAGAGGGAGCTCCACAAATCATGTGAAACCCAGATTTGGCACAAAAAAGGGGGAATACACGTTTCGCAATTATGCCACATCAAGGTGGAACGCTCTTCCCACAACTGTGAAGGAAAGTAAAACTATACTTACCTTCAAAACCTCTCTTAAAGAGCACCTTCGGGGGAGAGCATTGCAAAACTGGCCCCGGTAATGGTACAAATCTCAACCTGTCGTTCAATGGACAGCTTCCCCCCCCCCCATCTATGTATATACTCGCATTTTAGACTCTGTTACTAACTGTATATCTGTAGACTTGGTATGTCTTAAATGTCCGGTTAGGATGTATTTGAACGAAATCTAAAATGAAAATTGTAAACAAGCAATCTGTATGTAAAAAACCACCTGTATGTAAATTGTAAATAAGCCATCTGTATGTCAAATATGTATTATATGTCTTAATGACATGATGAATTGGAAATGGGGGACCCTGATGTAAACAAGACGAAAGTCTTTCTCTGGTCTGCATCCCCTTAACAATTGTATGTTTTGAGCTGTACTGTACTGTACCCAATATACAAGCTGTTAATAAACTTTTCAATCAATCAATCAATCAATCAATCAATCAAAACGTCACCACTGCTAAGCTAAAGGTGGCTAATGTTGGGCGTGATGACGTTTAGTCGTCTGATTAAGACAAAAATGTTGACATTCATCAGTGGGTTATTTCCTGACGTATTTTAAATTGTAGAACAAAAGGGGAAAATGTATTCAGCTTTTGTTACCCGCAGACCTTATTTCATAAATCTAACCAAAAAACTTCCAAAAAAAATGTGACTTATGACTTATTTCCAAGGTTTAGGACTCTTCACCTCCTTTTTGATCATTTCACAATAGTATAGAAACGTGCAAAATCGAGATTAAACACAGTTTGTTGATTGTGAGTGTCATTGAATGTGTCACAGCTATCACACGTTATCCACAGTTGATCCAGTTTAACCTCTGTTGTTCCGACTGTGTGAAACAGTCTGAAAGAATGAACTGGTGACGTTGTGCAGGTGGCGTCTCCTCCCCCGGGTGTTGAGGGACGTCTCCTCAGTGGACCTGTCCGTCTCTGTGCTGGGACAGAAGCTCAGCATGCCGGTGTGTGTGGGAGCCACCGCCATGCAGAGGATGGCCCACCCTGAGGGGGAGATGGCCACAGCCAGAGGTACCACGCTGTGTGCTACTAGAAAATGAAATATAAATCACAGTTTTTCATTCGCAGGCTCAGAACAACTTTTAATCTCAGACCCCAATCTAACGCAACCAGAAGATGGGGCCTTGGGCGTAAAGCCAGCCCACATTTCTGAAATTACATCATGACCGCAGAAAATCTGGATCAGCTCCGTTGTTCCCCCGTTTTTTGGAGATGAGGGGTTTATTTTCTGACACAGAAAAGAAAAAGGTGCATTTTGCATGATAGGGGAGCTTTAATATTATTACTTTGAACTAACATAATACAATTATGTGTAATCTGTCAACTTTTTGTATTTACTTCATATTAGGGGAGCTACAGCTCTTATAAAATACAACAGAGCTAGTCAACACAACTCGTCATCCATGCCACACATTTATAGAGGGTGGAAAATATGTTATATTGTTTTTCTACCCAGCATGCCAAGCAGCAGGGACAGGGATGATGCTGAGCTCCTGGGCCACATCCACCATAGAGGAAGTGATGTCAGCGATGACAGCCACAGGAGGCGGGGTCATGTGGCTGCAGCTCTACATCTACAGAGACCGAGAGCTCACTCTGTCATTGGTCCGCCGGGCAGAGGAGGCGGCCTATAAGGCCATATTTGTCACCGTGGATACACCTTACCTGGGGAGGCGATTGGATGACATGCGCAACCGCTTTAAACTTCCCTCACACCTCAGGTAGGAACCGACCAAAACAGCAGGGGAAAACTGTACCATCAAGTCCACAGTGTCCTAACGTACGTGTGTGTGTGTGTGTGTGTGTGTGTGTGTGTGTGTGTGTGTGTGTGTGTGTGTGTGTGTGTGTGTGTGTGTGTGTGTGTGTGTGTGTGTGTGTGTGTGTGTGTGTGTGTGTGTGTGTGTGTGTGTGTGTGTGTGTGTGTGTGTGTGTGTGTGTGTGTGTGTGTGTGTGTGTGTGTGTGTGTGTGTGTGTGTGTGTGTGTGTGTGTGTGTGTGTGTGTGTGTGTGTGTGTGTGTGTGTGTGTGTCCAGCCTGTCTAACTTCTCATCAGCCTCCCTGGCTTTCTCTGAGGGTAACTATGGCAACGACAGTGGTTTGGCTGTTTACGTTGCCAAAGCGATAGACCCCACCCTCTGCTGGGACGACATCACATGGCTGAAAAAACACACACACCTACCTGTGATCGTCAAGGGAGTCCTAAATGGTATACACACACACAAACATTTGCTTACCCCGATGAAGGAATTACCTTCAATCAACGTCAATCAACTTTGTGTGTGTATGTGTGTGTTCAGCTGAGGATGCTGTCCAAGCTGTGAACTATGGAGTCGATGGTATCCTGGTGTCCAATCACGGAGCTCGACAGCTGGATGGGGTTCCTGCCACGGTCAGTGTGTGTTTGTCTGTATATTGTTCTTTTTTTAAATAAATAAATGTTTACCTACAATTATTCCATGTTGTATACTAACAACAGACAAACCAACATTGTATCTGTTAATTCTAATGAACAAACTGCTAGCAGGTGTAACCCTTTAAAGGAAATGTATGGTGTTATTCTCTACCTTCCCTATAGTGTGGTGCAGCAACAGGTCCTAAACCCGGAAATGAGTCCGCATTTTAGTACTTCCAGTTTCCAAAGTCTCGAAGTCAACGTTTTGTTTTATTTACATTTACCAAAATATGGTCTGTGGTTAACATAAGCTCTCAAGATTTTAAAGTTTTGATCTACAACATTACATAAAGTAGTAAACACCACAATGGTGTTAGTTTGAAGCTTCTATCAGGGTTGCCAACTTTGGGTACCTGGCTGGAGTGAGATTTTGATATCATGGGTTTAATTACACATATGCGCTAAATGACTGCTATCGTGTCAGCAGCGGGACCTTAGCATATATATAGGATATATATATACAATATACAAAATATTGGACACAGACTATAAAGGGCAAACACATGTTTGTTTCCACTGTTTTATTGTGTGCCTGTCGCGATAAGCAATTAATTGACTTATCGTACGATAAATAAAAATGAACTTGATAAATTGCCTTTTACATGAGGATGTGACTAGCCGTTTGAAAGGATGTACTTGAATTATTATTATATATTATCATTATGTCAGTGGTCTAAAATGGTCATACAACAGTGCTGTTAGCAGATTTAGACTTATACCTTGTGTCTCCTGCAGCAGAAAGGCGAATAATCTCAGCAGTTCAAGTTTAGCCATTCATCACGGCGTTATTTATTATAGGCACACATCTCAAGAGGCTTGAGGACAGAGAGAGAAGGGGCGTGACTTCCAACGGTCTTATACCCCAGGTAGTGACATCACAATCATGAACACCAGCCCTAACCAATGAACACAGTTAGTAGTCGCAGCTACTTACATAAACAATATATGGTACACAGTCATACATGGAGTCATACACTATAGATGTCTGTATGTTATATCTCAACAGGTGTCGACAATATTATCGTTTATCGCAATAATTTCCGAGAAAATGTATCCAACAAACAAATCTACAGACTTACTCCAAACTGCCAAATATATTAATTAATGCACTCTCACTCTCATATAGTCTTTGACTCTATTTTGGCCTAGTAGAACAATAAGCAGCAGACTTTACTTTTTATCATTTCTACTGGATCTCAGATCTGCGCATGCGCAACACGGGTCGGGGATTGACCAACCGGCTCCCACTGCTCTGCTGTCTGTTAACGCTGTTAAGAGTGGTGGGGGCGGGGAGGGAGCGGATCGACAGCTTGAGCAGCTGTCAACTCAACATTGTAAATAACCAACCAAAAACGATCGCCGGTTCATCTTGTTTTTGGCGTGAGAATAGTTTGGGCAGCGTGAGAGCGTGAGATTGAGAGTGAAAGCGTGTGTCACACGCCAGATGCGTGAGAGTTGGCAACCCTGCTTCTATATGTCATTAAAGCGGCGGTTGCTAACAAGTGACTAAATTAGACGACTAAACGTTATCACGCCCAACATTAGCCACCTTTAGCTTAGCTGTTTGATTTGATTTGATTAGATTTCTTTCGAATGTGTAAAACAATAATGCAAAAATGTAACATGAGAATTATTATACAATACAAAAAATAAGCAGTGTCAAATTGATATACAAAAATATTACTCTACTTACTACCTTTAGTTTAGCGGTGGTGACGTGAAGTCATGTGACCAGGCTGTAGTTCCTTTATAGCCCAACATTAGCTGGCATAGAGTGGTGCAGGGATGACGTATGCCGACCCAGAAGTAAACTGCGCTCGGGTTCCCTCGACAAAAAAGCAATGGGATTCCTCCACAGGATTTTGGAAAATAGCTTGAAATATGGTCTCTGGAAAACAAACCTATTTGATAAATGCACGTTTTGTTCAGCCGGATAATATCCACATGTCTACCCTACTTTATAATTTTCGAATCATAAATCTAATCGCCAGAAGCAAAATGCTAACGTTATGCTGTAAACTAACTACAGCCGAGTACAGCAAGGTCGCATGACTTCAACGTCACGCCAACTCAAGATCGATATTCAAAAATACAGATTGTAAATGGTACAAGTTGAAGCGTTTGTTTGAACAGTTTGCAGGAGGCAGGTACTTGCTTTCAAGCAGAACAGGGCAAACAAACTTAGCGGGAGTGTTTACGTGTTCGGCGTAATGACGTACAACGTCCTCCACAACTTCTGTAGTCCTATTCAGCCACTTGGTAACAACCATCGTTTTTCAGACACGTAAACTCTTCATAAATCACCAGTGGGGTCACTGCTGATGGATTTAATGTCGTAGAACAAAACGTGATCCGTCTCTTAAATGTGTCTCAACCACAGACCTTATTTCCAGCTATTTTCCAAAATCCTATGGAGAAATCCCATTGGCTCTGAGACGAGGGAACCGGTAGTGGTAAAATGCTAACTCACTTCCAGGTTTTAGGACTCTCACTGCACCATCTATTAGCTTAGCGTCAGTGACATGAAGTCATGTGACCGGGCTGTAGTTCCTTTATAGCCCAACCTTAGCTTTTTACTTAAAGGTCTCCTATCATGCAAAATGCACTTTTTTATGTCTTTTATATATAAATATGTGTCCCCGGTGAGTAAGGGAACTCACAAAGTGTCAGGAAACAAAACCCTCTCTCTTTTCCTCTGTACCCACATCTCTAAAAACGGGGCTGCAACGGAGCTCATCCAGATTTGCTGATATGACGTAATATCAGAAACGTCGCTATGAGAAACAATGCGCAACGTATTTTGGAAGTAATATGGTCTGTGCTAACATTAGCAAGCATCGCTAACACTCAGAGCTAATCTGTACTGGAGAGAGTATGTGTAAAAAAGCAGAAAAAAAGAGGAACTCGCCGCAAGAAAATAAGTATTTGAGCTCCATACTGTTTCAGAAATAATCCTTGAAGTGGTTTGGAACATGATATGGTGTTTCATCACGGCAGCATTTAGCTGAGTATCTCGGTAGAATTCTGAGTAGACATAAGCTCCCCCCCTCTTTTTTTTCACACATTTTTCTCTAAAGCTACAGACCCAGAATCAACACTTCTCTAACAGGGCTGCAATAGAGGGGTATGAGGCAGGCAGGGCTACAATGGGTGATCTGTTTGGTATTTTGAGCAAAAAAACTTCATAGACATGTTTTTCATAAAATGTATATATATCTGAGACCTATAATATATGCCTAAAAATTGTATAATAGGAAACCTTTAAAAATCATGTTAATATGTGAAGATTGTCCTGCTGAACAAAACGTGTCAGTATCATAAAAGTTAGTTTGTCACACAGATTATTACATTTCTAAGTTTGACTCGAATAAAGGATCCATCAAGAACTTGATGGAGCTATGTGGCTGTGCTATGTTGGGTTAAAATGATGTCACAGTAGTTCATTACATTGTTGCCATGCAGAGCAGTTAGGAATCCTGCCTACATTGATTGAGTACTATCAGAGGAAAACAACATTGATAAAAGACCTGGTACCAAAGTGAGTTGAGTAGAGTTGAGCCGAGCCATTTGATTTAAACGGTTACAGCAATCCTGCACTCCAGAACATTATTTTTTGGTTAGCGCAGGTATTATGCCACTGGTCCAAAGCCACTTCTGTAATGACTTGAAGTGACAGACCCAAAAGCACAGCCCAGAGAAACACATTGTAGTAGCTTTACTAGATTCAAGGCAGGCAGGGGTCACAACCAGAAGTTCAGTGAACAGGCAAACAATTCCAACAAGGGGCAGGAAAGGGTATCCAAAGTTAAACAGTCAAGCAGAGGTATGTATTTGTTTTTCTATTTTATTATTGCAGTTTGGAACAGTGGAACCGTATGTTACAGAGGAAATATGATTTAAAGGCAATTGTTACACAGAACATTCTTTTAGTGGCTTAGTTTTAATCCTAAAGATTAACATTGTAATATCGAGTGGAGCAGTAATTACTTATTTGTGTAGGCCCATCTGAAAGTTAACATGGAAAGGCCTCACTAAACAATACGCAGTGGGTTTCTTCTCATTGGATTTTGGAATATTGCAGAAAATACGTCTATGATACTTAATATGCTTTGTTCAGTAGGATCATCTCCACATATTACAACCACTTTTTTAATTTTTGCAACATAAATGCAATCGCCATAAGTGAAGAGCTAACATGGACATGCACAACCGCAATGGCTAACGTTACCACTGCTAAGCTAAAGGCGGGCTAATGTTCGGATTGATGACGTTAAGTCGTCTCATTTAGACACTTGTTAGTAACCGCTGTTTTTGACACCAAAAAGCTACAGACATCCACCAGTGGGGTATCTACAGTTTTTTTTATATACTGAAGAACAAAATGGGAACCTTTGTACAACTTGCACTAACCACAGGCCTTATTTTGAGAATTTAACCAAAAACTTTAAAAAAATGTATGGAGGAATTATCCCTCCATACTTTATTGTGAAATAAATGAGTGTGTGTGTGTGTGTGTGTAGCTGGATGTGCTGGAGGAGGTGGTGGGGGCGGTGCAGGGGCGCTGTGACGTCTTCATGGACGGAGGAGTGAGGCGGGGGTCAGACGTGCTGAAGGCTTTAGCTCTGGGGGCCAAGGCAGTCTTCATCGGCCGCCCCGTGCTGTGGGGGCTCGCCTGTCAGGTGAAGAGCCACGCCCCCAAACACTCATAATCATAAAGTGAAACTTAATTTCTCAATTAATTTGACAAATTGTATTACTTTTTATTTATTTGTCCAAACTAAAATCGTATGCTCTTAGACTTTAATTTCATTAAGATTTGATAAATAAAGATGGTGTGTGTATCCAGGGGGAAGAGGGAGTGACAGAGATCCTGGAACTTTTTAAAGAGGAGCTACGACTGGCTATGGCTCTCTCAGGTAACACACACACACACACACACACACACACACCACACACACAAACACACACACACACACACACCACACACACACACACACACACACACACACACAAACACAAAAGAAATTAGAAAAATAGTTGATATGTCTACAAATGATGGTGTGTGTGGGTGTGTGGTGTGTGTGTGTGTGTGTGTGTGTGTGTGTGTGTGTGTGTGTGTGGTGTGTGTGTGTGTGTGTGTGTGTGTGTGTGAGTGTGTGGTGTGGTGTGTGTGTGTGTGTGTGTGTGTGTGTGTGTGTGTGTGTGTGTGTGTGTGTGTGTGTGTGTGTGTGTGTGTGTGTGTGTGTGTGTGTGTGTGTGTGTGTGTGTTTGTGTGTGTGTGTGTTGTTGTGTGTGTGTAGGTTGTCGTTCTGTATCTGAGGTCAGCAGGTCTCTGGTCAGGAGAGCAGACTTCACTTCCAGGATGTAAGAGATGAACCTGCTGATGAGGCAATATTATACTGCTATTTGTCATATTATGAAACTATTTTTGTATTCATCCGTGTTTTTTCAAATGTATTGCAACAACTGGTTTTACCTAACCAGTTTAGCCCAAAGCCTGTTTTCCAGGTCTCAGGCTCGAAAATGACATTCCCAGAACAAATGACTATATCTTCCCTTCTAAAAGGATTAAATTAATAATCTTTTTCCTCAAAGCAATGATAAACCTGTGAGTTGGATGTAGAAGAGTCAGAATTAATAGATTTATTTTTATTTTAAAGTAATTTCAGATTGAACATAGTAAACATTTTTTAATTATAGTGTCCTTCCAAAAATAAACCATTACTTATAGTGAAAACCACCCTTAAATGATGATAGTAGACTAACAGCTTTAAGAATCCAAACTATAACATATAATAAGTACCCTGTATCAAGATTGATGCAAAACAAGTGACATTTGTTCTTTTTAGAGAGGTTTAGCAAAAAAATAACCACTTCTGGGTTGGGTTGGGAACCGAAACTCGGTTCCAGATGAGAACCGATAACAAAATGCCGGGTACCGGGTATCCATACAAAATACACAATTTCGGTTCTGCTTAACGGTTCCTAAACGCGGCATACCCTGTATTCCACCTAGTGTTGCACGGTGTACCGATACTTGAAAGGTACCGCGATACCCTGCCGTTAAAAACGGTACGATTCCTCCGTTTCATTAGTATCGGTACTTTAAGAATGACGGGGGAAAGTACTCCGGTGAGAAAGCGCCGTTTTAATAAGAGCCGTGTGTGTTCAGCGCTCTGCGTCCACTCCCTGCACTGCAGCCGTGCCTGCAGTCCCGCCCCTCTCAAGCACGTCCCTCCCCTCTCTCGTGCACTCGGCCACGCGCTAGCTGCCAGAGCATGTGAGAAAACGAGAAGCATGGCTGCAAGTGGGAGTGCAGCTGCCACTGCGCCTCGGCTTGTTGATAAAAAAGACGCCATAAGCGAAATTTGGAAGTATTTGAGCTATATCTCTGACAGTGGCAGTGCCCTTACAACTACAATAAGCATGTTAATGTTAATCCAGCTCCGGCGATCCACTAGCACCCCTCCCCCGCGGTGGTTTTGAAATGCTCCCGATTTCTGAGGTCTCAAGGTTGGCAAGTATGATCCAGAGCTGTTTAAATAATTTAAAGACAGACAGGTTAGCGAATGTGATAGATTAGGGGTTCCCAACCTTTATTGTACCAAGGACCGGCAGATAGGCTACATTAAAAAAAAATCGCGGACCGGTTGTCAATTTTAACTGATTTTAATATTTACTCACCAGCAGGTAGCAACGGAGGCTAATTGTATGTAGCCTAACAGCCTGAACAAATAATAGAACAATGCATCCAAAACATATTAACAACGTTTAAAAAAGAACCGGTGTCGTTTTTTGGTTTTTCGGAAAAACGGAAAACCAAAAAAACCGACGTTATTCAGTTTTTAAACCAAAACGGGAAAACAGATAAATCAACGTTTTGGTTTTGTTTGTATGATTTACGGATAATCCAGTGATGGGAAAACGAGGTGAAGGCGCATTATGAAGTGTGTGTGTGTGTGATTGGCATTTGTTTTCAGAAGATATTATAATAGTGACGTTCGTTCCGGTGCACGTCCGACAGCATTTAGCACTACACCGAGATTAAGATTAAACTAATTTATTTTGGGAACACCCGCATATAGGCTACCTATGGAGTTAGCCAGATGTGTGTAAATTACTGTTCATGGTCATTTGAAAACAAATGCCGGTGTCGGACAGACACAAACACAGAGCTGAGCTGAGCTGAGCACACACACACACACACACACACACACACACACACACACCACACACACACACACACACACACACACACACACACACACACACACACACACACACACACACACACACACACACACACACACACACACCATGCGCCTTGGTGACTGGACATCTCCTTCATAAAACTAATAAAAGGGGGAGTAATCGGGCAGGTGTGTGTAGAGGTGTGTGTGGTTAACACGTAGCAGCCTGAAGTCACTCGCTGTTCTGATGAAGGTAAACACAGCGAAGGCGGTGCGTAAGGCACAGCTCTCGGCGCGCTGGTGCTGCACTTCTCAGAAGCGGAGTTACACGTCCCGCTGCCTCCTGATGCTGCAGCCATTTCATGAAGTGAAGGAGGTTTTCCTTCTATAAAACAGCTGCGGGCAGCAGATACTGTGAGAGTCCCGGACATGAATCCATAGATCAAGGCAGACTGGTTTACTCCCCTGTTTTGCCAATCCGGTGCTTAAACAAGGCAAGTTTATTTATATAGCACTTTTCAACACAAGGCAATTCAAAGTGCTTTACAAAAAAATGAAAGACATTAAGAAAATGGCATTTAAAATCAGTCATTAAAAAGAAAAGCTAATAAAATAAACATATAGCTCTACACCCCTGGCCGACATGTCCTTAAAATGAAGTCCGAGTTTGAAATATATCTCAAATAATGTATGCACTGCCATTTCCCCACATAAACACAACAGTCTGCAATTAAACGGTTGTCTCCTGTGCGCTCCACTTCCTCCTTGGCGCACCGGTAACTTTCTCGTGCGCAAGAGGCTGAGACGCCGAATCCCTCGGAACATCATAAAAGCTATTTTCAACGGTTATCTGGTGAAAGATTAACTAGGCTACTGGATGAAATAATATGACTGGTAGGCTATAGGTGCGAACATTAAACACTTTTTGAAAAAAATATTATGATAAAATATTTTTATATATTTATAATTCTGCAAATATTACGATAAACTCACAGCTATTTCGCGGCCCGGCAGTAACACCTCCGCGGCCCGGTACCGGTCCGCGGACCGGGGGTTGGGAACCCCTGTGATAGATAACATAATCACATCATGCTCAAGCCCATGCCCTCAAATCTAAGTCAAATAAGTGTAATTTATTTTGTGACAAACGAACGTTTTCGTAGTTTGACGAGGCAATTAATGGCAATGATAACTGTCTAATATGGCTATCTTTGTAGCTAACTTACCAATGTGGCTAACATCTGCAATATACATTTTGTCAATAATTATTTATATTACTGTACTATTACATGTTAATAAAATATAAAAAATTATATTTTATAAAACAAAAAAGTTGTTTGAGATGATGCTTAATTTGATTTAATATGAATTATTGTCATTTATTTTGTTTATTGTTCTCATTGTTTAAAAGTTTGTGTTATGGTTATGGTTCTGGTGTGAAATAAAGCACAATAATTACATTTAAGACTGTTTCCCTTTTTTTAAGAAAAGTATCGAAAAAGAATCGGAATCGCAATTCTTGACTTGGTATCGGTATCGAAACCAAAATGTTGGTATCGTGACAACACTAATTCCACCGGGTCCGTCTGCGCCGCGGTGACCCGGTGGAATACAGCCAGGGTAAGGGAGGACTGGCCATCTGTTCTGTGTTCTGGGGAATCACAGAACGGCCGGTCGTCAGCGGGCCGTTGACGGCCGGCACCGCCCTGCATTTTTTAAATGGCATCATGTAGGCCTAAGTTGCGCCGACAGAGGTCCAGTTGCCCCGCAGCGAGGCTCCCCCGCCCTGCCGTAGACAGTTCACGAGCTCAGTCACTTCATAACACCAAAGATGGGTCGTGGTAAACGCTCTGAAGTGAGGCTCCACTACACTAAAAAATAAGGCACAGCCTGTTAATAGCTTGCCAAAGGCTCAGTTAAAATAAAGCACAGTGTAACGAAGGTAACTTCGTTACTATGGACTGACGGCTTTGGGGGCCTTGTAATATTCTTTCACACACACATACGGGTTTTGGGCCGCGGGCGACACCGTACTTCCGGTATCAACCATTTCACACGAGGTGCATACAGAATATCATAGTTGATTGCCTTAATCAATATAGTCAACTCTAAAATACCACATATATGCATTGGCATGATAATATTATTGTGACAAGTGGGGTATTCACCTGGTGTTTCCAGAAGATAGACGTAGATGCAGCCAAAATCGACCGAAGGCCACTTTTGAGGGTCGTAATTCCATACATTGTACATCCAACAACCCACATAGCTCTAGTTTACGCTGGTAACGACCTAGAGCACACCCCTCAAGTCCAGAGATGTAATCCGAAGACACATGCAGCGATTTCTTCGGTCGTTAATTCAGAAAAAAAACCTAGTGCGCTCTGCCTGGCTACATTAGCTAGCTGTTTATATTAGCATTGCCAGGATTTTTGCACCTCCAGAAAAATGGCGTCTTTATAAAAAAATATATGGCGCGCGTTGCATTGTGGGTAGCTGTGACGTCACTGTGTGTGAAAGAATTGCACATCTGGGTTTGCACTTTATATAACAACTTCCTTTTGCACAGTAATAATGTCACTCAGCACTTTAGTGAACAGTTTGCACTTTATTAGCATGATTTGCACAGTACAGTTTGACATGGCCTATTTGCAAATTTTTATATAATCTATACTATTTATTGATGTAGTAGTTGTTAAATGATTAAACCGTAGTATTTGGAATGTCGTCTGGCAGATGCTGGTCGGTCCTCGGTTCCACCTGAAAAGAGAGGGGAGTTATAGCGAGAGTGTTTATGATTGTGTAAGATTGACAGCGGATGAGATTAATCATTGTGTGCAGATGTCCTGTTTTAGCGTCTATATATCATGACGTTAAGTTGCATTCATTGTAGAAGTGAACACTGTGTAAAGGTTACGTCCATACCCATGCTGTTTCGTCATGTGTCCGCTCCAGTGTGTTTGGCCAAAAGGTCCTCGGGGGGAAACAAACACTGACTAAAGAAGGTTCCGGGACGAACCAAGTGGCGGGATGGGCGTAGGGGTTTCTGTTGTAGTTGGGAATGTATTTCTATATATTATGGTCAGTTATAATGTGGGTTTTGGGGTTAACTTCACAGCTGGCTATAAACCACTGATCATACATGCACAGAATATTATGGATTATCGTTATACCAATTATGATGACATGTGTATTTATAATGGCTCACCTGTGAATGGTTTTCTCCCAATAAGATCCTCTATAAAAGAGCCAGTCTTCAGTCTGAGGAAAGTGGTGAACACCTCCATGCTGGCTGGCTGTTCTTTATGGTGGTTGTGAAATAAAGTCACTATGGTGTGCAACTCTACCTCCTCTCGTGTTTGGTTCTTTCACTGGAAATCCAGCCGCTAAAAGGGTCGCTGTCTCACACAGCTATTGTGCAATACATTTGTATTGCATGTATATTTTTTATTTGTAAAAATGTCAGTTAAAGCTTAAAAAAATAAAGATATTTTTGCTATCTAAACATTTGACCTCTTTCTTTTAAAATTTTGGAATCGAAACAGGGAATCGATAAGAACCGGAATCGATAAGAACCGGAATCGGAATCGATACATTTCAAACGATACCCATCCCTACTTCTGGGGTCATTTGGGTGGATTTGCCATATCTCTGGGACCCATCGGTCGATTTTGATGATTGACACCTCTTTTGAACCGTTAGAGCCAATAGAATTGAGAGGGAAGTTCCTAAACCCACCTACACGTTACCATTGAGGAGTGAGAGTGATGCACACGCAGCTTGCCCAAACTGAAAGCTATGTTACGTTCTGAAAACTGAAAACTAGGTTAT